TATATATATATATATATATATATATATATATATATATATATATATATAACTGAGATGCCCATGGTGCTCATTGTTCTGCTCTCTGTAGAACAGGCCATCTTTGACAGTTTATCATCACATCAATCTCTTCACATCCTCTCTTTGTCAAACAGGTAAAAACCTTCCACAAACTGCAAAAAAAAGACAGTTTAACCAACATGCTCTGATCTCTAATTAGTTCATTAGTTTACTCTTTAATAGTTTGTGCCGAGATGAAATTATATAATGTTTTTGTTTTTTTTCACACAACTAGATTGAGCGCTAGATTGAGAGGGCACATTTGTGAGTTTCACTTCAGACATCAAGAGCGAGGAAATCTAAATGAAAACAGGTTAACACACTTGCATGTTTTCAACTCAGAAACACATGCATACTTTAAAGTGTGCTCAACTATCTAAGCTATTCTTACTAGCTATACTATTATTATTAGTTATGTAGATTTTAAAAAGTTTAATCTTCAAAGGCAAACAAGAAACATACAAAACACTCATCATATTGTATATTCATAAGATCCTTCCTTATTTTGAAAGTGTGTGGAAATATGATACCAACATGTTCCATTTAGTCTTCACAAGAGCATAACCAAGTTAACTTTGTGACTGCTGAATTTCTCACATGGCGCTCAAGATGAGAAATTCAAATATCCCCAGTGAGGTAGGCAGATGCAAACATGAATACCAACACATTCACACATCTAAACCAAATGTCAGAATTACGTTTCCATTCACCACGTGTGAAACCTCAGTGCAACTCATGCTGCGGTTTAATTTTAAATGTTAACTTCTTATTTGAATGGTGTGAGTCACAATAAAAGACTTAAGTTCGCAATTTTCGTAAAGTGAGACCCAAATCTTTTCATGAATATAAAATGTTCTTGAGGCTTTTGAAGAGTACGTGTATAAGTAAGGTGTCATTTGACTAATGGACTGAGTGACTGTGTGTGAGAAAAATATGTATTGTTTTTTTAATCTGGAGCACATCTTGCAACCACAATTCAATAACATCAGTTAAAACAGGAAAAGTGCAAGTTCAAGTCTGTTGTGCTTGCATGTACAAAGGTGGTCTCACAGAGCACAATTACAAAACGTCACGTAGAACTGCATATACTTGACGGAAGTGACCTAGATTCAGTGGAACGTTTACTATTTACAAAGGAATTATTGAACTTAGGTTGAAGTTCTAGACATGTTTGTTTAGAATAATATAAGAGGTAAAAAATTCATACAAACTCAAACGTACAATACCAAACCAACATTTTAATATCAGGCTTTCTTTTGATCAGGCTTCAGTGATGACTTTACAATTATTATAAATTGTTGAAAGTAGTGAAACATAAAAAAATAAACTAAAAAATCAGGTGCATCCAAATCTTTTTTTTTTTAACATACACTAAGAGTATGCAATAGTTACGATTTTTTTTTTTATGTTTTTGAAATAAGTATCTTATGCGCATCAAAAATACTGTAAAGACAATAATATTGTAATATTACAATTTAAAATAACTGATTTATATTTGAATATATTTAAAGTGTAAAATTATTATATTATTATATTAAATTAAATATTATTCCTGTGATGTAAAGCTGAACTTCCAGCATCATTACTCCAGTTTTCAGTGTCACATGATCCTTCAGAAATCATTCTAATATGCTGATTTGCTGTCCATTATTATCAATTAGTATTGGTGATCGGTTGGTGGTGGTGAATAATGGCTCTTATTATTATCAATGTGGAAAACCTTTTGCTGCTTAATATTTTTTGTGATACATTTATTGGTGTGCCACATTGCTGAGCCTAAGAGACTCAAAAATATATATTATTTTATTTATTATTTTTATTATTAAATTATTACTTATTTTTTTCTAACTTTTGTGACCAATATATCAATTATATATATATATATATATATATATATATACAGTATATATATTATAAACAATATTCTATTCAGCATTGGTCTTGGTCTTGGTCTCAATGTCTCTGGGAGGCCAGGTTGTATATATATATATACATACATATATATATATATATACTGTATATATATCCATTCAAAAGTTTTGGAGTTTTTATTAGTTTTGGTATGATTTTTTGAATGTTTTAAGTAATTTATGCTCACCAGTACACCATTTATTTAAACCAAATAAATACAGAAAACATTCATATTGTGAAATTTAAAACACCTTTTTTATATTTTAATATATTTTTAAAATGTAATTTATTCCTGTGATGGAAAGCTGAACTTCCAGCATCATTACTCCAGTTTTCAGTGTCACATGATCCTTCAGAAATCATTCTAATATGCTGATTTGCTGTCCATTATTATCAATTAGTATTGGTGATCGGTTGGTGGTGGTGAATAATGGCTCTTATTATTATCAATGTGGAAAACCTTTTGCTGCTTAATATTTTTTGTGATACATTTATTGGTGTGCCACATTGCTGAGCCTAAGAGACTCAAAAATATATATTATTTTATTTATTATTTTTATTATTAAATTATTACTTATTTTTTTCTAACTTTTGTGACCAATATATCAATTATATATATATATATATATATATATATACAGTATATATATTATAAACAATATTCTATTCAGCATTGGTCTTGGTCTTGGTCTCAATGTCTCTGGGAGGCCAGGTTGTTCTCTTATGGCGGTCCAACACAAGGAGGACCTTGGGGGTTGGGTAAGGGTGGAAGAGGACGCTTGCTTTTAGAAGACCTCTCCGATGTGGTTTGCATGTACTGCTCATCAGGCGGATTTGTGTGATCTGGCATTAGAGATGTAAGCCGGTACTCTTCTTCCTCTGCCCAACAGAGAGATACAGGAGGATGTGAAATCACTTTTTTTGAATGATGGAGAATTGGTGATAATTTTAAGAATATTTCAGAATATTTAGATTATGATTATGCTCTTTTGCTCCTGTAGTTATTTTTGTCATTGAGAAACATACCTACACTGAATGATATTATTACCTCAACCACACCTAATAGATGTTCTCATCTGTTCTAAGTCTGAATACAAAAACAATATTTGACAAATGTTTCTGAAAATAGTTCACTGGAAGCTTACCTTTTGCCTTCCTCTTGTTTCGTCTGTAGCAGCGGCAGACACAGACAAGGCAGATGATGAAGAGTATGAGAAGGAAACTTCCTCCCCCTGTCAGGATCACCAGCATCCACCATAAATCCAAGCCAAATATAAATATATTCTCATTCACATCTAAAGAAGGATCAAATCCAAATAAAGTGAATTATCAACAATATCATGGCCAGCATTTATAATTTTATGAAATGCCAAAAGATGAGTAAATTATTGACATTGTCATCACTATTATTCATAATTTCAGCAAATGAAAACTGATGCAAAAGCATGATTTCGCTTTTTGCATATAACATAAATGGATAATGAACAGTAAGCAGATCTTTGTAACAGATGTATTTCATTCTACATGTCAGACACTCAAGGTTAATAAAAGGGACTTCAGGACAGAAATTCCTCAGTGGCAGATCCATGGTAGGAAACATGAGCTACAGCAACAAACAATTACCTATATTTTGTTCATTTCCATTCTCGCTGTTCACTTCTTTTTCTTTGTCGTCATTGGCAGTTGTTGCATATAGATCTTTAAATGGGTTATAAAACATTTTTTAATTAAAGAGTCCACGTTTTTCATAGACACCAACGTTGTCATGCATGAGATTATATATGTGACCCTGGAGCACAAAACCAGTCTTAAGCAGCTGGGGTATATTTGTAGCAATAGCCAAAAATACATTGTATGGGTTAAAATTATAGATTTTTCTTTTATGCCAAAAATCATTAGGATATTTAGTAAAGATCATGTTCCATGAAGATATTTTGTAAATTTCCTACCGTAAATATATCAAAACTTAATTTTTGATTAGTAATATGCATGGCTAATAACTTCATTTGGACAACTTTAAAAGCAATTTTCTCAATATTTTGATTTTTTTGCACCCTCAGATTCTAGATTTTCAAAGTAGTTGTATCTCGGCCAAATATTGTTTTTCAAAGTAGTTGTATCTCGGGCCAAATATTGTCCTATCCTAACAAACCATACATCAATGGAAATATTATTTATTCAGCTTTCAGATGATGTATAAATCTCAATTTCGAAAAAAAAATTGTGGTCCAGGGTCACATATGTCAAATGATTTTGATATACCTGTGTCAGAGCAAACTGGCTTAACTTCTTTTGCTGACTTCTTGCTTATCTGGTTGCTGACTGTGCATGAGAAATGATCTCCAGATTTGAGCTCAGATGAAATTACATGTAAAAAGGCACCAGTCGCATTAGTAATAATGCCATTTTTCATCCAGGACACAACCTCAGTTTTGCTCATTGGACTACAAGTCAGATTTACTCCTTTTTCTACACACTCAACCATGACTGTAGGTTCAAGCACTGGCTCTGAAACGCACACAACAACAGCAAGTCTTATTGCAGAAACACACTTGGTCTTGCATGACTTTGTGGAGCAAATAGAGAGGAGAGAAATGAGATGTGTTTGAATAGCAGCAGAACACAAGCTAGTACTTACCCAGAACACAGAGCTGTTGTACGGTTTCCTTTCTTAACTTTCCTTCTGCATCATAGATAATGCCCTTGTACTCTCCAGATTTGTCTTTCTGTACGTTCTCCAGTATTAGTGATCCATCTTCACTAACGTTGAGCATGTTGAGCTTAATTTGCGAGCCTTTTTTCAAATAAACTCTCTGTTTATTATGTGTCCATCTCAGTTCATTGTCCTCTTGTAATTTTGCATCATCAAATGAAATCACAACTTTGCCACCCACAGCTTTGTAGATACACGAAGAGACAAATGTACCTAAAAATAAAGTGGTATAAACGTTTTAAGCAAAAGTATCAGTAATACAGTGAGAAAATGTTGCTGTGTGTTTTGTATGTATCAAGCACGCAGTCACCTTGACCTTTATATACTGCTGGCATTATTTGATTTAACACAATTGTGGGAAAAAGACTGTGATATATTAAAATGGTTTTACTTAAAGGAATCAATACATGAGAGACATATGAATGAGTAAATAAATGGTTCATATGAAACCATGTGAAACGCAATACAATTTGATTGCAAGCAAAAAAAAAAACTTTCCGTAAAATCAGAAAAACGTTTCTGTTACACATCTTTGATGAATTTGACCAAAAACCATGCAAAATATTTCTTATGTGGTTTACTGATAATTGACTTAAGAAGAAAACCTGTCCATGATCAGACAAGTGACATTTAAGAAACTATAAAGATAATAATAGGCCTATAATATAATTTAACAACAACCTACCAGTGGAGAACATGAAGATTAAATTGATGAGGAGTGTTATTGTCACGTTTTGCAGCATTTTCACGCGGATTTCTGAGTGAGTTGTTCTGTTTTAAGACGTCAAGCTCACAGTGGCACAGTTTCCTGTTCGTTGCTTCTCTGGGAGTGTGTGTGGGTGAGTGTCAGTACACTGCCAGTAATTCAGTACTATTCAAAGTTTTGGGTAGATGCCATTTATACCAATTTATTATTTAATTATAATTAATTAGAGTAGTATAAAGATTGCCATGTTTTTAAATATTAGTTAAATAAAAACTTTTAAAAACTTAAAACTGTTTATTGTTTTTAAGATTTGATTGTATGCGTTTTTGCCTTTAATTTCAATATTAAACTTTAATAGGACAGTGTAGAGAGGACAGGACGCAAAGTGGGAGAGAGAAGGGGATGGGGTCGAGAAAGGTCCATGAGCCAGGTGTCCTGACATTTTGTCCTACCAGGGTTTACTGCGCATGCGCATATCAATATTGCGTCCTTTTACTCATGCTGAACAACAATATTTAATGTATCTGCATTACTGTAAAGGTAGGTTTAGGGGTGGGGTAGGTGTAGACTTTAATAAAACACAATATAATAGGTAGAAAAATTATTTATTGTTGGTTTCCTGTAGCTGTATCCCTTCTAGCTACAACCGCGAATATAACACATAATTACTGTATTTGCATTACTGTAAGGGTAGGTTTAGGGTTGGGGTAGGTGTAGACCATAATTTTACAGGTAGCATTCTTCGTTGTCGAATTGTACTACCCACTGTTTTAATGGGAGGTAGCAAAATCGAACAGGGTAGCACAAATCAACAGAACACCTGGACTCGAACTCGGGATGCCCGAAGCACAACGGCGCTGAATGTCGGTTTTAATGTGTAACGCTGTATGTGTTTTAATTGACATGTTTATTATGTATCTTATTTGGTACTCCTAGTTCTCGATATGAACAGTTTAGAAAACACTAACAAATGCTGCTGATGATTCATTTTGTGAAGAAGTAAAGAAGTCAGATGTATATCAAGGACTGACCACATGTTTAGAGTGTCCTCTCGCCTCGGTCCCGAGATGCTAGGACTGACTCCAGCCCTCCCGCGGCACTAGAGGATGGATTGGATGGACCATAGATAGGCATACTTCACATATTAACACAAATTGGTAACACAAATCATGGCCAGTCTATGTGTTTATTTTGCAACAGATCACAATCATTGCACAATCTTTTGATATAAAAATACTTTGAAACTTATGTTTACTCTGCATTTGCCGACTAGGTTAATACCCTCAAATTCATTTTGTCACACACAATTAGGTTTCCAATACTAGTTCAGTGGAACATGATGTGCTTTCACTTTCTCAGTGCAATGCTGTCATCTGGGGGAGATGTAAAGAGAGGCAAAGGCAAAGAAATCATGTAATATTTGGTTTAGTGTAAGTCACTCTGTGTGTTGCCATATCCACCGGAACTTATTACTAGCAGATAGCAGAACAAATGTACAGGTCAATATGAAGCATGGAAAAATCTAGCAGGGTTAATGGTTTATGCAGGGCAAACAAGTCCATGACCACCAGTAGGGGCGCCAGAAGAAAATACAATGAGAAAAAGTTTACTGTAAAAATGCAGAAAGTTTTCTGTTAAAGTTAGGGTTAGTTTAACCTATTTATAACTAGACAAAAAGGATGCTGGCTTTTGCTGGTCATCAGGCCGATTTAGGTAATATGGCATTAAAGAGACAAGCTGATGCTGTTCTTCCCCTGAACAAAAGAGAGATACAGTAGAATGTAATTGGTTGTTGTTAATGAACATTGCATTTGCATTTGCAATAAGACATTGCAGTTGCAGTTTTATTGAGAAACACATCCACATGATTATCTCAGTCACACCTACAATTGGATGTTCTAATCTCTTCCAAGATTGTATATAAAAACAGTATTTTACAAATGTATTTGAACATAGTTTACTGAAGATATACGTTTTGCTTTCCTCTTGTTTCGTCTGCAGCAGCGGCAGACACAGACTAAGCAGATGATGAAGAGTATGAGAAGGAAACTTCCTCCCCCTGTCAGGATCACCAGCAGCCACCATAAATCCAAGCCAAATAGAAATCTCTTCTCAGACATATCTAAGAAAGGATACAAACAAAGTGACTTATCAACAATATCATGACCAGCATTCATAACTGTATGAAATGGCAAATTATGCAAAAAGACGACTGATGAATTAATTTCAATCTATAACGTAAGGGATCATTTAGATTGAGCCACTCGTTATCACAACATAAACACCTAAAAAACACCTGATCATCTATTAGTCAAAGTTGAAGGTATTTTTATTGTGTGAGGAATGAGACTAATATGTAATTTCAGAGACGTGAAACACGGTGATGCAGGAAATCAGCTGTGACAACAGTATGGCTTAGCATCATTATTCAAAATATTTCACAGATCAGAAAAAGTACTGTGTAATATAGTATATGATCACTTTTGCACAATAATATTTTAACAATAATGATGGAATTTTATGTAATATGTGTGTCATTTAATTTGACAAACATTTAAGGATAATAAAAGGAACTTGATGACGGAAATTCCTCAGTGGCTATTTTGTGGTGGAAACATAGTCATAAGGAACTTTGTGAGGGAAATAGACAAATACCATTTGTATTTTCATTTCCACTGTTGCTGTGCACTTCTATTTCATTGTCTTTATTGGCATTTGTTGCATGTGGACCTTTAAAAATTAGTTTCATCGAACCAGTGTTGTCATGCAATATGTATGTCAAATGATTTTGATATACTGGACCTGTATCAGAACACACTGGCTCAACGTTTTTTGCTGACTTCTTACTTATCTGGTTGCTGACTGTGCATGAGAAATTATCTCCAGGTTTGAGCTCAGATGAAATGACATGTAAAAAGGCATGAGTCGCATTAGTCTTAATGCCATTTTTCATCCAGGACACAACCTCAGTTTTGCTCATTGGACTACAAGTCAGATTTACTCCTTTTTCTACACACTCAACCATGACTGTAGGTTCAAGCACTGGCTCTGAAACGCACACAACAACAGCAAGTCTTATTGCAGAAACACACTTGGTCTTGCATGACTTTGTGGAGCAAATAGAGAGGAGAGAAATGAGATGTGTTTGAATAGCAGCAGAACACAAGCTAGTACTTACCCAGAACACAGAGCTGTTGTACGGTTTCCTTTCTTAACTTTCCTTCTGCATCATAGATAATGCCCTTGTACTCTCCAGATTTGTCTTTCTGTACGTTCTCCAGTATTAGTGATCCATCTTCACTAACGTTGAGCATGTTGAGCTTAATTTGCAAGCCTTTTTTCAAATAAACTCTCTGTTTATTATGCGTCCATCTCAGTTCATTGTCCTCTTGTAATTTTTCATCATCAAATGAAATCACAACTTTATCACCTGCAGCTTTGTAGATACACGAAGAGACAAATTTACCTAAAAAATAAAGTGGTATAAAAAGTTCAGCAAAAAGTGGACCCAAAGTATCAGTTCAAATATGTTACCGTGTTGCGTTTCAAGCACACAGTACCATTGACCTGTATATATCGCTGATCTGAGATTGAACACATTCGTGGGAAAAAGACTGTGATATGTTTAAACCGTTTTACCCAAACAATCTTACATGAGAAACATATAACTAAATTATTCATTAAAAAAAATTATATTACATGTGAATGAATATTATACGCAAGCAAACAAAACTGTTTTAAAACAATCTACTATCTGTATCTAAAACGCAGAAAAGAGGTTTATGTTTCTGTTCCACAACTCTGAAGAATGATAAATTAAACTAAAAATCGATCTAAAGGCAAAAACCATGCAGGAGCATTTTTATTTGGTGTACTTATAACTCACTTAGAGGAAAATTTGGCATAAGTGGCATTCCAGAAAACATATAGGCTATATAACTTAACAACAACTTACCAGGGGGGAACATGAAGATTAAACTGAAGAGAATTAATGTCAAGTTTAGCAGCATTTTCACTCGGGTCTCTGAGTAGCTCTGTTTTAAGATGACAAGCTCAAAGTGGTGTAAGTTCCTGTATGTGCATCTCTGGGAGTGTGTGTGTGTGGGGGGGGGGGGGAAAGAACACGATTTCACCAAGTAAAACATGTTCCTGAATCAACATCCTTGTTGATCCTGGAACAACATTTCATCCAACCAATAAAATCTGAAATATTTGAGAGGTTTACAATGTCAAATTTAGGCTTACAACAAGGGTAAGGGGCTTCTACACCATTTTTCATTCATATGAAATTCATTATATAAAAAACGGTCAAACTTTTGACCGGCAATATATATATATTGCCGGTCAAAAGTTTGAAAAGCCGGTCAAAAGTAAGAATTTTTATGTTTTTTAAAGAAGGTTCTTCTGCTCATTAAGGCTGTATCTATAATCATATAATAATCATATAATAATGTAAAACTACTACACTGCTAGGCTAAAATGAACCCACATCAAGCTAGACATTAAACCTACAAATCTTGTTCATTTTAAAATCACTTTTACACACACAGACTATCACTTTAGAAAGTGACGTGACATGTGGCCAAGTATGGTGACCCATATTCGGAATTAGTGCTCTGTATCCAAAGTGCACACACACAGCAGTGAACACACACACCGTGAACACACACCCGGCAGCCATTTTTATGCTGCGGCACCCGGGGAGCAGTCGGGGGTTCGGTGCCTTGCTCAAGGGCACCTCAGTCATGGTATTGAAGGTGGAAGAGAGTGCTGTACATTCACCCCCCCCACCTACAACCCCTGCCGGTACGAGACTCGAACCCACAACCTTTGGGTTACGACTCCGATTCTCTAACCATTAGGCCACGACTTCCCCAGTTTAAAACAAGAGAAAACAGTCAAAAGTAACATGCATGTAAGAAGAAATGCATAAAAGTATGGCATTAACAGCTACAGAGTTTATAAATGAAGCATTGAACATTGGTTGAATATAACTTTTAAGATCAAATTGGACTTTTTTGGTAAATTTGATATATTATATAAAATATTATACAAAAACATTATTATACAATAGTTT